CCTGTCCCAAGGTCCCCTTCAGTTCTTTTGTAGCCCTTTTAGGCACTGGACTGAGACTTGGCTTCTCAGGCCTGTCGGGAGCCTTGTGTTCTGCAGGTGAGCACCCCCAGCTCGGCTGCAGAGCAGAGGGGCTCCAGCCCTCAGAGCATCTCCAGGGCCTCCTCTGGTCTTGCTCCAGCAGCTGCAGGTCCTTCTGATACTGGGGATCCCAGAGCTGGACACAGCATGGCAGGTGGGGACTCTGGGAATAGAATAGACCCCAATGGACTGACAAAACCGAATAACCAAATCCTGTCAAGCAGACACCAAGTGAGATTTATTTTTTTTATCAGCTTCTATTCCTTCCTCTAACAGCACTCCCATTCCCCTTACATAACAACGGGAATTCAAGATAGTTTAAAAAACTAAAGATGAAGAGGAGGAAGACTGAAAATAGAAATACCTACCTCAGACCTATTGCAGCACCTATTTCCTAATCTCACCGGCACTCCACCTCCCCATATTTAAACAGTGATGTTTCTACCATCCTCTGAAATCATCTGGAGCGCTCTGGGGGAGCCAAGCCCGGATCCTCAGGCTGCCGAGGGTGAGGGTCACCCAGCTCCCGGCTCGTTAGAGCGGAGCGGAGCGGGTGGCGGCGCGCCGCTGCCGCAGGCGGGGCAGTGCCGCGCGGTGGCGCCGGGGCTCGCTGCGAGGCACCGGAGCCGTCAGCGAGCGCAGCCCCGCGGAGATGCGCTCCAGGGCATTCCAAGAAAATGAAAAGTGCAGACTTTCTGTAGGTGGCCTTGAGAACGACCTTCAGTGGTACCGTATCAAACTATAAAAATGCTTGATATAAACATAAGGGGAAAGGAACTGGCTTAGCTTTACAGAGCTGCCTGGCATTGGTCTCCAACACTGGAGCCGTTCAAAGTCGAAAAAATCAGATTCTGGGCTGGTTCTGACGACACAGATGATAATGAGCAGTTGCTTTGAGGTTTCAAAGTCCATGGGAATAAATACAGTACGTTTCAGAAGTCAGCTTTTTAAAATGCATTCAAAACATTTTTAAAAGGGATTCCAGGGGAAAAAGAGACAGTCCAATAACGTTTTGAGATGGCTGAGCTAAAGCTGGATAAACAGAACCCGTCACCAGCCTTTCTCTCTCCCAGGAAGCTGTGGCACCCCCTCCCCTGGGCATTGTCCCTGCTCCAGCAGCGGCCGGCTGTGTTCCTCTTCCCTGAGGACAAACACAGTAGTGGAAAAGGAGCAGAGCTGCCTGAAAAGTGGGTCAAGCATGGAATTAAACACCCACTATAGGATACTCCCAGGCAGGGCTTCTTCAGCTGTGTGCTCCCCCACCCACCCCCCTGCATTTTCCTTAAAAAATAAAGAATAAAGAAGCAGAATAGAGCAGCCATCATTGCTGACTCCTGCACTGATGGCCACTGTTGGAACTCAAAATGTCTCTCAGACATTTTTAGAGGTTCCAGGCCTTGGTCAGGAGCATTTTAGACTCTGGCAGGCAGCTGGAAACAGCTGTGATTTTGAGTTTGAGCCATGGAATGAGTTACCAATTTTGAAGGTGGAGCAAGCAGTCACAAAGGGTTAGATAGTATAGTAAAAGTAGTTACAAAACAGAGGGGAAATTTTTTTAGTATTGTACAGGGGGCTTTTAGCACCTATACAGAGGGGTTTTTACTTTGTACATGGCAGTCAGAAGTTCTAACATTGAGGAAAGTGGGCTGATCCTGTTCTTCCTCCTTCTTCCTTGCCTCCATGTTCTTGGTGATGCTGGCATTTATGGATTGATTTAGAGTATAAAAGCATATTGTAATATAGGTAGTAGGTATTGCGGGAAAACTATAAACATGTAATACGTAATATATCATATAAAAGATAGCAGCAGCCCTGGGTGGGGAGAGAGAAGAAGACAGCAGAGAGGATGTCAGGGTGTGTGTGTGCCTCTGCCTGGGCCGCTGACCAAACCGCAGTAGCCAGAGAAGAAAATCTGTTAGATAACTAACAATAAACTGCCTTGAGACCAAACAACAGGAGGCTGCGGAGTTTTTCTTTGGAAGCACGGGTTGGAGGAGAGACTTTACCACCACATGAGACCCCAGACCAAGCCCGGGGTTCTCACAGGCCACAATAAAGCAGGTTTTTTCAGAGCAAGGTTTAGAGTTAGGTTGGATGTAAAGGAGTCTTTTCTCAAGCTCCTGAAAAAGAAAGGCAGTTGGAAGCCAGGCTAAAGCCTTTCAGCCCAATCGATCGTGCAATTATCATGGTAAACAGGACACTGCTCTTTTACAGTTCAGTACCTTTGGTTTTAAATGCATAATCTGGAAAACAGCTTATAGATTAATAGAAATTAAACAACAAAAAAAACCAAAGCAACAAAAACAAATCAAAAGAACCTAACCTCCAAAAACCCAGATGTATTGGGGGAAATCTACTGAGGAAGATGTATACAGAAGTCAGGACAACCAAAAGCAAAGCTTGAGTTTAATTTATACAACCTTGTGCAATGATACGAGTAGCTGCAAAAGGAGCTCAAAATCACTTTCCTGCAAGTTCTGATGTAGGATGCTCACCCTGATCACACTGCTCCTCCTCCAATTAGCAGTCCCAGGTACTATAAGCAACTAATGTTTTATACATTATTTATACCAGCAGCAATCATTATAGTCTCTATCCCAAAGTTCTTTTCACCAGAGAGTAATTAAGAGATCAGTAGTTCAACTCATCTTAAAGACTAAAGCTTTTCAGCTCCAGCACAGGTTTAAAAGGCTAAAACTTGCAGCACTGCTTAATTTAAAACCAAAAGTGTTGTTTCAGCCGTTTTTCCCTGTCCATATGCCAAAGCACTCTGGTCCCTTGCTCAAGAGAGCAGCCTGCCTTTATTCCCATCCAAAAGGAGTAAAGCCAAATGAATTAGAGCACCAAAATAACTTTTTGTAAAACCACAGAAGGCTGACTCATGAACTGCTGACTCTGCAGGGCTTTGTTGGTGTGTTCATGAGTACTGAAAGATTTCTACACAGTCCAGTGTGATTTTTACTTAACACTTTACCTGTTTCAAACCTTCTCCCAGAACTTGCAGAACACCAATCCTCTGTGTCATGACTGCCATAGCACACACAAGGCATCCAATGCCTTCTACAAGGCTTCAAAAATCACTGCTTGCAGACATTTTGCTCCAAAAATCCAAACTCATACAAACCACGAGTACTGTTGCATAAAACATGGAATATGTAAAGAGCCGCTTTTCAGGCAAATTTGCTCTAACCTGAATGGCAACTCTTAAAATACATTAAGAGTTTCCATGAGTGCTCAGCATCCAGACAAAATAAGCAGCAATTAGAGCAATAAATGAGTGTGGAACAGGTGTGTAAGGAGATAATGAGAGTGAAGACACACTTTCACTGAATTTGGAGCAGCATTTAACTTGAAAATTCAAAATTGTGATCGCACTTGCATCTTACAACCATTTTTCCTGAATGAACAAGAGTGCTTATTCTTCAGCCCTCTCCCAAGGTCACAGCTCCTCCAAGAGCAGGAACTGCACTCCAGTATTACTGTTTATTTAACTGTAAAAAAAGAGCCAAAATAAGCCCAGCACTAGCATAGCGGTTTGGTTTTGTCTTGTACAGGAGGAAATCCTTTACCTTTAAGAGTCAGGATAATTTTTTAAATTGTCAGAGCAAAGACTTGTCCCAAGGTCCTTGAAACACAATTGGTTTTTAAAAAGTACTATGCTTCTTTTTACTACTATAAAAATCAAAATAAATCCCATGTAACATGGATTGGTAGGTATTGGCACCTTTCAGCAGTTTTTCTCTTACTGGAGGAGCTTTTGACAGGAACTGGACCAAGATAGAAACAGGTGAAATGTCACAGCTTCCATTAGCAGGATGTCCCCTCACCACTTTTCACAGGGCAGAATTTGTTCTGTCACCATCCAGACACAGGGGGAAGGAGGCAACACTCTACCTGCACTCTCCCATGGATCCAGTATCTTGCCAGGGTATGATCAGAAGACCTAAATGAGGTAACATTGCCCAAGCACTTGGAGCAGGGATACTGAGTGTGTACAGCAGCATCGGCAGCTAAAGCAATCAGAAAAGAGCACCAGGTGACAGTCACACACATTGGTTACCTTGGACAAACATCCCCCTGCAGGGGCAGCTTGGGCAGCAACAGAGCAGGGACTGGGGCAGCAGCCAGCCCCAAGCTCCAGGGGTCTGTAATGGGAGGGCCATAAGTAGAGGAACAAAGCACAGGGTGGAAATAGGCAGAAGAAAGGTGCATAAAGAGGGTGAAGGGGGGAAAAAATCTGGCAAATCTATCCATCTCTGTATGTATATAATACATACTTGATTTCATGGGCCCTTAGTTCTTGAACACACCTGCAACAGTTCAGAGTGCTCACTTTGACATGAAATGGCCAGTGACTTATACAAAATGAAATTTGGAAAGCTTAAAACCCTCCCCGCTTTGTCCAAAAATACTCCTGGCTCTATTCAAGTTCTGAGAAAGAAGAAAAAAAAAACAGCTCATGGAGAAGTACAGTTTCATTCCCAACTGCCTTCTGATAATCTAAACCCCAATGTCAGCCCTCCCCACTAACAACTGGGTGTGACATTTCCACTTCAACACTGAACTACCACAATATGGGAGTTCCAGCTGTGCCTCTATTTTGTACTGCATGGAATGCAGCAGGCAGAGCAGAGATGGAGGAATTGCCAATGATCTCCAAACTCTGCTCATTTCTCTGCAGCCACCAAGCTCACAGGCTGAAGCAAAGGAAGTTTGTGCAGTACCAATCAGTTACCAATAAATCAAACCCCAATTATCTATATCTTTGTTTCTTCTCTTGCATTTTCCAAACATGAGTTTAGCTGCTCAGTGCTCCATCACAGCAATGTATTTTTTTCTTCACTGAAGAAAACAATGTGGTTTTTGCACTGGAATCTTCACACAGACCATCACAACATAATTATAGAGGAAAGCACAAAAACTGGAGTGACTCCAACATTGTCCATGGACTTTACTAACAAGCACTTGGATTTGTGTACAGAAACTGAAGCAAAGAAAGGACTGCTCCCTGCCAGAGCAGATGAGTCACACCAATTAAAGCAACAAGAAAAGCAGAAAATAGGGCAAAGTCATTCCTCTTGAAGGAATGGTGTCAATGAAAGCACAAAGTCCCATCTACACAAACATAGAGAAAGACAAGTGACAGGAATGGAACATGAACTACTCTCAGCAAAGGATTGTTTTAATAGTGATCAAAGCCAAAGCTCCCACTATACTAAAAAAAGCAACTTCAGATGCACTTATTTTAGGCATGCACTTCTTCCTGTACAAGATCAAACTACAGCAGACTGAGCTCTCCAGAAGCCATTTGGAACCCAACAGGACTCAAATTCTGCTGAAGGAAAAGCAACCACTTGAGCCCTTCTGAAAGGGGATGAAGCAATGCTTGTTGAAATGCAGCATCTTCTTTTCAAGTTAAAGAATTAAGTGGTACTCCAACTTTTCAGAAAAACATGGCTAGGACTAGACCTCCAGGCGAGTTCAACATTTGCAAAATTTGTGTGTTCCCTTAGAAACAAGCAGTGTAAAAAACAAATCTCCATGTTATTACAGAATCTACACTGTGCCCAAGAAACTTAAAGTCTCAAACAATCTGAATATTAAGAGACCTTCTACTAAGTCAACAGCCAGGTACATAATTTAGATGTACCCAAGAAGTTTCACACACAAGCCTCAAGAAGGTTTAACATTTGAATTCTGGCTTTGAACCAAATCATCAAATTAGGATTCAGATTTTGAAGTTAGTAGAAAGGAAATATTTAAACAGAAGTTAACATAAACCACATACCACTGTTTTTCAGAATGGAAGCCTGGGCAAATACACGTAGCACTAAACTTCAAGTTGTTTCCTTTAATATTTACAAAATTGGTTTTATTCTTAGTTGTTCAGAAAAATTGTTTTTTAAGTATTAGCACCTACATTGTAAATTACTCAAACTTAGATTTACACTTGAAATAAAGCCACAAGCAATCAGTTAAGTGAACTTATATTCTTCCATTTCTGAGCATTTCAGTAGAGCACCAAGAGGGAAAGAGCAACATGTGAGTAACCAGCAAGCTGTTCTCAGCTGTGAGACACAGGCCCAGGCACCTTCCTGGGACAGGATTCAGAAGGTCAGAGTTTTCCAGCACACTCCAAATTACCTCAGTTTTACTTATTTAGAAGGTGGAAATTTCTATGCAAGTTTATAAAATCCATCCAGCTACATGTTAGTTTATTAAACCACAGTTGACCTGAGATGCAATTAGAATTTTGACATTTTTCCATACTTAGTTCACAAGTTTATTATGAAAAACACTGCAGCTCTGTCCTGCAGTAACATTGTTTTACAGAAAAAAACAGTTCTGTTCAAAGTAATTCACTATCCTTGGACAATTACAAGGGACAATATGGTAGGGCAGAGTGGAAAAGGGAACTGAGTGCAGACAAAAAAAAAAAATCAATACAATTAAATTAAACAGTATTCCCTGAAAATAAAACAGTTTCAGAACAAATATGAGGCCTCAGTACTTATTTTAAAAATGTTCTTTAAGCTTCAATGATTGTTTGCTGCTACCCTTATCTACAGTCATGCTGAATAAAGCTATAGCTAAATGGAAAGTTAAATGTATTCACGAGGTGTTAATGTCTACATCTTATTATTTGCAGTCTCTCAGAGAAAGCAAAAGTAACTACAAATAGCGCTATGCCAGAAACTGGTTTCTTGACCAACAATGTTGCTTCAGCATGCAATGAACTGGTTCATTCTAAAGTGGTCACAGTTGTTGATGACAAGAGGCTTTGTATTGAATATGGCACGTCTTTTGGTCCATGTGAAAACAAAGTTTGAATGTTAAATATTTTCTGACACTTTGGAGTTACTGTTGCTCTTCCCATTTTCTTTAGGTCAACATATGGTTCATGGCAATACTGTACAGGTCTAAAATCTCTTTACAGGAAGTAGTCTGGGGTGCGACGAGTAACATGCGGTTCACCTCTGCGTGGCGCCGGGTCAAACTGCAAACTGAAGAGACAGACGTCAATGAAAACAAGAGCTCAGCTTACGTTCAGGTACGCTCTAGCCCTGAATTGCAGAGACTCACTTGTGTTAAACCACTGCTCCTCTAAGTTCTATCAACCAAGTTTTAACTTTTCTAGAACGTGTTCCAGCTCTTCCACTCCTCTTAGTATGTACTTTCAACCAACATATATTAAATTCCTCTTACCATGAAGGTCTGGGAAGAAATTAATTTTAGCTTTAAGACTCAAAGTGGTCGAACTTTTGTATCTATTAGAAAGTTAAAGTCTTGAGTTATTATCAAAGAGGGCAGTTTGCATGGTGCTTTTGTTTCATTTACTAGTAAAGTTGCTGCTGCAGTAGTTAATTAGAAATCTCATTTAAAGACTTGACATCCCAACACCTGAAGAATTCAAAGATTGTTCAAGTCCCCTGCCCAAGACTGGAATGCATTACCTTAGATGTCACAGACTACTCCTGCTCTCAAATCACATCCCTACACTGTAAGTCCAGGTACTTATAAAAACAAAACTGAGGAGTCTCACTTTAATGTGATAAAAGATCTCAACAGCAACTGTTCCAGAGGCTTGACTCCAAGACTTTAAATGTGACTAACCCAACAATTCCACACTCGCTCCACCTCCCGAAGGCTTAGAGAGAGGAAGAAACCCCCATACTTTAACATAATTAAATGGTATCTTAAAATCACAGGCAACGCAATTCTTATTTTTAAACATACTTACAAGGAATATTTTAGAGTATCATCAAGTTCCATAATTGCAGCCTGGTTGCCACAACGGTAACAATAGTTTGGAGCACTGAAAATTGTTACTACATTCCGATCATGGCACCAGTTGTACCCCTGGAGAGGATGGAAAAAATTATTATGACAACCAAGTTACTGTGCCCCATGCAACCGCCTGACTACAAACCAGCCTTTTAATGCACACAGCCCTAAGTGGCATTTGTAGGGTTACTTTAAATAAGCTTAAGGCTGTATCCTTTTTTTCTCTTCTGGAGAGAAAAAGTGTAAAAAGGAATTTTGGCCTTCATAGGTTGCTTCCTACTAGTAAATATGAGCTAGATATTTAAAAAAAAAACAAAACAAAACAAAAAACACCTAGCAATATTTCTCCATTGCATTAGCATTAAATAGTTAAAACAGCAATTCTGAAGTACACAATCCACTCTAAACCTTCAACTGTGATCACTGAAACCAGAGTCCAGACATACATTTAAAAATCTGAACTGCTGGGAGTAACTGGAGACAAAGAACAAAAGCACACATCCAAGCTAAAAATAAAAATTACACCTTTTTTCAAGAGACACATTTTAAAAACTTTTAATCTACACAGAAATGCAATACCACATGTAGTACCAAAGCCTGGTTTGAGATATTACTGTACATTTTCAGGAAAACAAAGCCAAAAAAAGGTTATTCCACTGTCAAACTCCTTTAGCAGCACATGAATGCTGTCAATGTCAAGTTTCTGGAATATTCTTAGCTGGATCATCACCTGTCACAGTAGCATACACACATCTCTGACACATGGAGCATGGAATCAATGGACCAAGGACACAATCCAAAGTTTGTACACACAGGCTGTCCTGCTCACCTCCATTACCAACTGATGAGCTCTTGAAACCAACGTAAGGCCATTAGCATGGTTAAAGGTTTCTGAAATATCCTGTCCAAATGTATAACCTGCACCTCGAGGAGAAATTCCCCAGCCACCACGATCATCTGGATCTGACCATAGCAAGTCACACATTGGACCCTGTAAGAGATGTAGATGATGTTTCAGAGGTGAAGTGCAAAGAACCAAAACCAACAAAACCCAAAAATGCTTGCACATGCACCACCCCTGCACAACTCTTTTAAGACTTAGTATGTTTTCTTCTTTAAGCAAGGACATGCCTCTCATTTTTCCTTTTAAAAATCCAGAACAGGAAGACAGCAAGCACTTTAATATTGCTAGGCTGATTTGAATTTCATTTTCAGCCTACAAGCTTAACCCCCCAATACATGCTGAATCATCAATCTCATTGGCTTAGAAAATTACTTTTCAGTACCTCATGGGGAACTTCCTGCAAGCGATCAAGTGCTCTGATGTGATCCAGTGTATCTATAGATGGAGAGAGGCCACCATGTAGACAAAAAATCTGCAAGTTAAGAAACATGAAGTTTATTTGCATTAATCAGTGCCCTTGGAACAGTTTAGAATAAATTATGAGAAAATCTGCATGAGATTCCTTTGAAGATGAGAGCTGACAGAATGCAATGTTAAGAACTCCCTTTACAATCAAAACCATTCAAGTTTGTCAGATGTCAACATACCTGGCCATCCACCAAGGCAGTTAGAGGCAGGTAATCAAAAAGGTCTGTAAAGTACTTCCAAACATTTGCATTTCCGTATTTCCTTAAACATTCGTCATAGAAACCATAAACTTGTGTGATTTGCCTGCTTTCATGGTTCCCCCGAAGAATTGTGATACGTTCACGGTAACGGACCTAAACAGGAGAATTTATTTTAGCACATCAATGAGCAATTCTTCCCCAGAACAGAATTTGCACTCCTCAATCCCTGCCACACATCAATAAAGCAACTAAAACCAAACCATTCCGAAAATTGAAATAAATGAGTATTTTTTTCCCCTTAAAGGCTATTATTTAATCTTCAATGGCCACTTACTTCTGAGTTTAATTACATGTTGTATTTATTATTACTAGGGGACTTCATTACACCTGTGCATTAAGCTGATCTCTCCAAGCAAATTCTTAAAGATTGCTACTTAGGCAAGTAAAACAAACACTCATTTCAGATAAAGCTCAGGCTTGCACCTTAACATTTTTTATTTTTTTTTAAAAAGTAAAACTAAGAAAGCTAAGAAGTCAGTTTCAGTAGCTCTAATACCAATACAGTGAAAATCATAATAGATATTAAGTGTAGTAAGGATAGTAATGATATATTTTATATAAAGCTGTAAAGCTAAGAAGCAAAGTTACCTTAAGAGCTACAAGCAATGTGACTGTTTCGACTGAATAATATCCTCTGTCAACATAGTCCCCCATAAACAAATAGTTTGTGTCTGGTGATTTGCCTCCAATTCTGAAAAGTTCCATGAGGTCGTGAAATTGTCCATGGACATCTCCACAGACTGTGACTGGACATCGCACTTCTTGTACGTTGGATTCTTTTGTCAAAATTTCTTTAGCCTATAAGCAAAAAAGCACATAAAGGGTGAGTTTGTCTAGGAAGAGCTGTTTTATTCAAAGCACACTCTACCACTTCCAACTCTGCTACCTGCTCTCTGTAGGAGCTTTTGTCCGTTGCTTCCCTCCCTGAAGCACTTGAGGGAGCAGTTTACTTAAATGCCATTTATCTTAAAACAGCATTTTACTTTATGAAACCCTGTATTAATAATTAGTAGTTGCATGGCTACTTTTCCTCCTTGAGGACGGTATCAGAAGCAAAACTTCAGACTTTCTATAAAAATGGTTCTGCAAAGCATAGAACAATGAATATAACTACTGGAACTTAAGAAGTTTTTAAGTATTTTGAAAAACTGAATCTAAAAAACTTGGCGACATCTTACTTCCAAAAGCCCAAACTCAGACACAGCCAAAACACCACCAATACCTTGGCACTCGCCTGTACAAACATCTTCAACCCACCTGCAAAGGCAGAGGGGTCCTGCCTGAAGCAGAATGAGAACAAACATCCGCTGGTACCAGCAATTACAGAGCAGGCCACTACTGCACAAGTTCTCTCAACAAGTTTTGTGATTAAACACAGACTAATAACATCAAATTGTGTCTTCATAAACCAGAGGTGGGTACGCTGTTTGTCATCACCATTTTTTCCCTAAAAATTGTAGATATCAAAGTTGCAGACAAAAGTAATTTGGATGAAGAAGCACAGGCTAAATATAGCACCAGAAAGGTAATTTTGAAATAATGCAAGACAGTTGTTACAGTTTGTTCTCAGAACAGTCACCAGACGCATGCCACAATGATTTGCTAAATCAAGAAGCTATTAAAAATATAAATAGTAACAAGTTTACTAGTAACCATCTACTAAGATTTCCGTGTTTTTCAAGAGTCAATGTTCCTATTAAAAAATGATCCTTTTTTACCTCATTAACTCAATTACAAGAAAATATATAAAAAATATATTCTATTCTATAACCCAAGTTGTCTATAAGAAAGTGGCTGACACTCCCACCCAAAAGTGGTGTCACTGTCCTACATATCATCCTGGCTGACCACCATGGTCACCACTTCAAACAGAAACAACACCTAAGTTTAATGATGAAAATTCATTAAATTCAATGTTTCATTGCAAAGAAATAAAAAAAAATACAGCATGGCTAAGCACCCTGCACAACATAAAGCTTTAGATGTCACTCTGCAGACATATTCACATCAAAAGTCAGTCTCATGTGACAGTTTCCACTTGCACTGTGCCCAGTACTAAAGATAGGTCATTCCTGGTTTGTGGTCAATGCTAAAAGTGCAGATGTATTTTAAGATAGCCTGACTTGAGTTAACTTTAATGACGTGACACTCACCGGATGTTTTCAAGGTGTTTGAATAGCCTTAGCCTCTTCTAATACTCCCTTACATTCTGAAGCATTAGCCAGTTTAATTCTCCTTTAGACAGAGAACATCACAGATGCTTACAGGAGTTTGATATAAAAAACCTACTCTTTAATGAGAATGTTTCTACCACTGGATTTTCTTAACCTACTTGAAGTACAGCACAAAGAATGCAGCATTCATTTTTCATCAAAGGTATGCAGTGTTTGTGCTGAGAATGGCAGTTCTTAGCAACTGCTTCCACAGATTCTGAAATATTAAATCACTCAGATACACACATGACCAACCACACAGAGAAGTCAGACAGCTACTCTGATGGAAAAAGACTGTTCCAGGTCAATTTGCAAAACAGCAACCTCTGTTTAAATCCTGCAGTGGAGGAATGTTGGTGCAGGGATTCCAACATTTCCATGTTTTCAAACCAGTTTCATGCAACACTGTGTTATGAACTGTTTGGTTCATTTATAGTCTTATGTCTCACAGTATTAGAAGTGGCACATACTCAAGTGCTTAAACACTCTACTTGGCTCTATAAAAGAGCAGCAGCAGAGCTGAAAGTAGAAAAAAATAACATCCTGAAAGCAAGCCACCAACAAGCAGTCTGCTATATCCCAACTTTCATAATAAATCAGTTCCTATAAGAAGTAAAAAGTAAAAAATAAAGGACTTTTAATACACCATAACACAATACAAACACAAGTTGGTAAGACAACACTACATTTAATACTACAATTTCACAATGGCAAGTGATCACTAATACTACTCCTGCAGTATCTATGCCCCAATCTTGTACTGGATCACACACAGCAACTCCCCCTGGTTCCACTCCCTCTTTTTACTGTTTCTTGAAGGTGCTGCTCAGTCAGCACATCACATAACTCCCTCCCCCTATGCATCCTCCTCTCCAACAAATGGACTTCCCATCAACAGCTCTCCTACACTTCCTCAGGGAGAAGAAGCAATAGAGCACTCTTCAGCATCCTTCAGCAGAAGGCAGAAAACTCCTTGATCCAATCATCTGACAAAGGAGAACCAAGACAGATACACACACACAAACCCCTAAACTTCAAACACCACAGGACCTATTGCCACAAAGGATAATAGGGCAACAACGCAGTATTTTGACATCAACATTTTGAAACATCCAGGCTTCACTGCCTATCATCAAGACAAACGATAAAATTCATAAACAGATTTTCTCAAGCACCTATTAGTTCTTTTGTTCTCTGCCTTTTTTTAGTTCTTAACAATTGCTACTATTAAGACAGCCCTGAACTTCTCTACACCTCTTAACACTTAATTAATCTTTTTTACATAGAAGAATACAACCACAAGTCAAACTTCTGTGGTGCAGGATACTTAAGCAAAAACTTGTTAACAACAACCTACCATATTACAGTTGTAAAATCCTGCCTCTAAATCAGTTTAATTATTTTTTCAGCACTACACTCTCAGACTTCAAAATAAAGTGCAAACACATACAGAATAAGACTGCAAAGACCACGTTACTTCAAGTTGATAAATGCTGATTTTACAGACAATTACTAATGAAGTCAAAGATGAAAAACACACAGCTGTGAGACAGTTACACAGGAAGAGTGTAAGAACCAAGTGTAATGCTGTCATAAACACTACTGCTGAGGTGGAAAGTCACATACTTTACTCAGAACAATCTCAAAGTTCAAACAACAAACAATAAGTATCAAATTTCAGCTTAGTCATAGTCACTGGAATTCATTGTGACTTGATACTGGCTTACTCAGTCATTTCTCTGTGAAAACTTGTACAATCCCAAGACTTAACAAGAATAAAACCAATATTGGTTTAAACACACAAGTAAACAACCAATTTTCACTTCACTATAAAAAGAGTAGAACTGCATAAAAACTCAACCTACCACTTAAGAATTAAACCATTCATGGCCTGCTGCACTTCTTCTAAAGACCCAGCTGAACAGTACCAAGCTGCTTTGGTGGCTCTGTTTACAAAGCACATGTCTGCAAGATGCTGGTCTTAAAACACAAAGATCAGTTTCATTGTTTTAAGACGGTACAAGGATTTTGAAAAGATGACTATTAAAGTCACTACCATGCGATTTTCAGATCCTCAGTTTATTTAATGAAATGTATGGGTTGTATGCATGCAGATGTATCTCTTATTTCCCTTGTACCCTCCAAATATTTTTATCCTCTATGCTACAAATTAAGGCTCAGAGTTGAGTGCCATAAAAGCCATAATCCATCTATTTTACCTCCTCAACTCGCTCTGTGCTGAGGATATGCAAGTTTCCCTCACAAGCAGTGTACATCATCAACCTCGTCTCACAGAAATAATTTCCAGTGGTCCATTTCTACAAAATCCTCTGAATTAATCTGTACCCAAATTCCTCTGTGTTTCCAGAATATACCAGATATTTCTTAATTACTCTGACCCCTTCTTAGGTCCCTACATTCTAGCATGAGCTCCAACAAGTAACCAATTATCTACCATGAAAAACTCTGGGGCACATAGAAGAAAATAACGAGACCCAAACCAAACAGTAAATACCACTGTCTCTGTGTAGAATTGTAAATCAATGCTTGAAGCAGCACTATGAACCAGTCATCAAAAGATTACCACTACTAACTCAGTAAAGAAAATACAACCATTATTTTAATTACACAACACAGCCCCAAAGTCATGGTTGCAGATGGTAATGTGTCATTCTTGGCAGACCAGAATTCACACCTGCAGCCCACCATGCTGCCTAGTAAAGTGTGTAATGAGAAGCATCCACTGTAACCAAGAAATAGTTATTTGTAGTTACCATACAGATATTTTGATGAGATTGAAGACTTCAACCACACCCATAATTTCCTGTCACCAAGGTGCACAGGATGTGACTAAAGGCACAATGATCAGCTAATTGAGATGAATACTGGTTTTAGCTGTTCAAACATCATGACCTGGAAAAGGTTCCAGTTCCAAGCAAAGTCATCCATTACAGTCAGCAATTCTTCTGCAGAGTCAATGCTTTTCAATTTAAAGATTTCCCTGCTCCTCACTTGGGGAGGAAAGAGAGCAGGTTCAGACAAAAGATGGACTTATTTTTTAAAGCAAAAGGTGTTCTAATTCACTGACATTTTAAACAAAACTAGATAAATTAAGCCTCCAATAATACCCTTCTGTGAAGGAGGCATGGCAGTGAGATTACACATGACCCAAATGGGAAACTGATTTACACTGAACTTCGCAATCCACTAAGGAGTTCAGCATGAATGCATAAGTAGCAACGAAATTAAAATACAAGGCTCCTCACTGACATTTAATTATTTAGTATTCCAAAGTAAAATCAGGATTTCCATCCACATAGAAATACTGAGCAGCAAAATACTCTTTTGCCAGGACAGAAGTGGATGCATCTGCTTTCTCTCTGGATTTGTGACTACACCTACACCTTCATTTCTAATCTCTTCTGTTCGGTGAAGGTGAAGAGACCAGGTTAAATAGAAGGTATTAGCCAACCAAAAGAGCAACCCCAATGCCAGGACTGCTGTAAGATTAAAGTAAGACCACCACTTTCCTTTATTGCCTGTAAATTCTAGGAGGCCTACAAGAAAGCATGCAAGCAGCAAACT